TAATGTAATCAGCAACGTTTGAGAGAAAAGCAAAAAAATTTATTTTATTAAAAATTGATTATTATACAATAATAATCATCGTCATTATTACTGCATAATAAAACCTGCATTTTAAATTTAAACTCAGTTTTGTAACATTTTTTTTAGGGGTATCTAGGTTCATGTGATTTTGACGATATCTGAGTACGTATGTACGTAGAGTTCGCCCCCTGTCGCAGCATTTCGTTACGATGAATCAGTGTCATCTAAGATGATTCAGTTTCGTTCATAACTACACACTGCGGAAGTTGCGGAGCCGCTCTATGCACGTACATACTGTGCAAGAAATCTAAAAACCACAATCTCTTTATAAAGACAAGTACGTATAAACAGCATAATAGAAATTGGTTTTAATTGGCCAGCATTTGTGATCTACATATAGACGTTACACCAAACTGAAAACTGTCATATGATGTATCTCAATAAATTGACCAATAAAATTATAATTTAATATCACGTGCCTTGGCTAAAGAAGTACCACCATGGGGGCCTCTCACAATCTACACCAGTTTTTGATTTATGTTCCCAGGTATACTGTATAGCAAAGGTATACTATGCAGGGTCTTGTGCAAAGTTATATTATAAACCGATTTGTTTATGTCATGTTTATAAATTTCTGCTTAGTAGTATACCAGATCTTTTAGCAAATATACAGGTAATAGACCTGGTAACATATCTGGTATAAATTAAGGGGGTACCAGTGATATAAATTGGGTCTGTACAGTAGGCGCAGTGCACATAGATTTAAATTTGCACTCTCTGTATATATAGTGCGCATATAATTTTTTTTTTTTTTGTGATTTTTTTGCGTTTGCGCCAATAAAAATTTTTTGAATTTATAACACTGGGTGTACTGTCAACGAGAGGTACTGTCACGAGAGGTACTCTATAAGGCGAAATACAGTATATAAATTGCGTGAAATTTATTGGCCCATATTGTTACATGTGCTTAGCTTAAAGAAATACTACATCTTATACAAGGATAAGTAAGGATTATGACCTGCATGTTTTTTTTAGTTTATTCATTTATCTGTTACATTTATCATTACTATATTACATGTCCCACCTATATTCATTTGCTATAGTATCTTCATTATACATCAAATCATTACGCATATGATCGTTATGCATAGAATTGTTATGCATATAATCATTATGCATAGAATCATTACGCATATGATCGTTATGCATAGAATCATTACGCATATGATCGTTATGCATAGGGTCTTTATGCATAATTTGTTATGATAGCATTAATTTCAAAAGCATATTGAATTTAATGATAAATAGTTTCACAGTTGCATAAAGGTAAGATCTAGAGAATAGAGAGTTAATGCGTTAGTAACTATGATTTGTATAAAAGAGCATATAAAAAGATCTTGTAGAGGCAGATTTGCCTCATATACTTCAGAGAATAAAACAATATCAAAATTTAATAAAACCATAAAAATATCTCAAAAAAATCTTGGTCCCTGTTCTGTTCGTAATTGCCAAATAGAACCAAATCAATATCGTGGAATCACAGAATATGCTTTAAAAAAAGTAAAAGAAAAGGGCACGTTTGATCAATATAATTACTTAGAAGTTGGAAAGCAATTATGCTATCCTCATTACTTAGAAATTGCCGAGCCCGATCGTTATAATAAGTCATTAATTAGCATTAATAAGCAAAATAATATAGTCATTAAAAAACTATTATCATTTGGTGAAAAGATCACGTTAATAACTAAAGTGTTATACAAAAAACAAAGAAAAGAAAATAACATACTAGAATTAAATCCAGATCAATTTCAGAAAATGCTTGAAGATGCTGAGCCACAATTGGTAGGATTCTTTAATGAGCTATACGACGCATTTATCCCCGAAAGATGATCATCTTATAATAGAAAAGAAGATAAAAAAAATAGTTAATATATGCTATTCAATTGCGGTGATACGTAATAGGCTTGTAAATGACTATCCATTAGAAATCGGATTATATTTAGTAGCATCAGGTGCATCTTGCGATGCAATTGATGCAATGCATAAGGCGGGTATTACAGTTTGTTACAAAACTGTTGAAAACTATAGGAAAAAGGTTGTTGCTGCGCATCTAGAAAATATCCGAAAATATTTTGCCGAGAAAGTAAGTATATTTTTTTTTAAAAAAAAAATTCACTTGACTTCGTTCCAAATAAGCTAGTTCGATTAATTCAATCTATGAAAGTGTAATTCTGTACCCTCACATTTATTTTGTAAGGAACCTATATACACTTTACTTAGGCCGTAATACTCCAGAGATGTAGACGTAATGCCATAACTTGTAATTATATTGAGTTACGGCAAAAATGCTGTAACTCAATATAATTACAAGTTATGGCATTACATCTACATCTCTAAACTACTTCTAACCAAAATCCTGTAACTATAGCATGCAATTATCCTAAATTTATTAATTAAAATTTTATATTAGATAAACAGTTTTTTTGTATTCAATATTGATGATTACCATAATATACATGGAATAAGATGTCCTGATACTATAACTCTTTCTGCTCCAATTTATTTTGCAATATGCGTAAGTAAAGAAATTACACAATGTGCACCAGTTCCAATAATCTATAATGGTAATTCAGTCCATAACCCTGCCAATATCGATGCACTCTTAATTTGCCTATACCTAATTAAGCGGTATCATGAAATTTTTGACCATTTACACACACAAAGAAAAGATCAGTGGACTATTTCACAAGAAATAGGGCTCATTAATTTTGATAAAATTGACCTTTTAACCATTCACTGCTATGATGATGCTATAAAAGAAAAGGAAAAAGAAAGAACTATGGAAGAAGTGCGATTAGTTGATTTTAGGAAGAGCCAGCTTCATTCTCTAAATGATTATTTAAATGCACTAAAAAATATTTTTTTAGTTAAAGATATTGAACGTGCAAATGATTATATAATGCCTGTTGTTGCTGACTGGCCCAGGCAACTTTTTATACGAAAGGCATTAACCAACTTGCATCAACAAAATAAAAATATACTGCTATTCATAAATATCTTTATACCTATATTAGGTCCGCTTCACATTTCATTGAATAGCCAGGAGCAAGTTTTAAAAATCTATTATCCTTTTTTTAAATTGCTTTTTTATGAAGTTTTTGGAAAGTGCAAAAAGACCCTTGCAAAAAAACCACAACTGTAGAGAATAAATCTCCTTTTAGAACTTGCTTACCAAGGATGGATAAAAATAAAAATAAAAATATTAGAAAAATTTGGAACTACCTGTAAATACGTAGAGTATAAAACATTAGTTGATCATCTAGATAATATAATTCTAGTAACCTTAGATGTATATGCAGTTCTCTTTCATTCAGGCTCTTTCGACGAATATATTGAAACGGTTTTCTGAATATGGACCTTCGCATTGCGTTGAAAATGAAAAAACTACAATAAGGCACCTTTAGTGTTCTTGTCGGACATCTTTTATTGGCAAGAAAAAGAACATCTAATGTTAGAAGTAATTAAGATGTTTTTA